ACCAGAAAAGACAGAAGTAGAACTGTAACTCAAGTGGTAGAGCACTAGCCTTGAGCAAAAGAAGCTCAGGGACAGAGTCCAGACCCTGAGTTCAAGGCCCAGGACACCCCCTCCCTCCCCACACAAAATCTGATGAGAGCCACTGTGGCTCTAGATGTGTATGAGGGAGCATGGACACTAACCATAAGGCTACCAAAGTGATGGAGTCAGACGTTCCGAACCTCAGAGAAGCTCCTGTCAGATGTTAAAAGTACAACCTGGACGCCATTCATTAGCAGTCAAACATTGAGAAAGGCGGGGCCAGCAGAAACACACACACACATCTCACCTCACAACCCTCCAACCAGTCCACAGCTGGCTCTTAAAAAAAAAAACAGATGAATAGGTGGGTGCTGGTGGGTCATGCCTATAGTCCTAGCTACTCAGGAGGCTGAGATCTGAGGGTTGTAGTTCAAGACCAATCCAGAGAGGAAATTCTGAGAGCTTCTTATTTCCAATTAATCAGAGAAAAAGCCAGAAGGGGTGCTGTAACTCAAGTGGTAGTGTGCTAGTCTTAAGCAAAAGGAGTTTAGGGACAGAACCTAGGCTTAGAGTTCAAGGCCAGGACTGGGAAAAAGAAGAAAAAAGAAAAAAAAGAAAAAGAAATTAGAACAAGTTCAGTACATATCTAGTTCAGAACCCTTCCTTCCTTTCTTAATTTCTTTTCTTCCTTTCCTTCCCTCCCTCCCTTCTTCCCTCCCTTCTTTCTTTCCTCCCTCCCTCCCTCCCTTCCTTCCGTCCTTCCTTCCTTCCCTCCTATCTTTTTTCTTTTTCTTTTTCAAATACAGTATTTTTAATGCACAGGTACTTATAGGACTCCATGTGAAATAGTTTATAAAGTGGGTGCCTTTATCAGTAAATTTTCAGACTATTATACTAACACATAAACGTCTCCATTCCACTACTTGTCTGGTTTTGTTTTTTTTTTGGGGTCCGGTCGTGGGGCCTGAACTCTGGGCCTAGGTGCTGTCCCTCAGCTCTTCAGCTCAAGGCTAGCGCTCTACCACTTGAGCCACAGCGCTACTTTTTGCTTATGTGGTGCTGAGGAATCGAACCCAGGGCCTCATGCATGCAAGGCAAGCGCTCTACCACTGAGCCACCTTCCCAGCCCCTACTTGTCTGTTTTTTTAGATATAGTTCACATACCACAAATACACCCTTAAGACATTCAATTAAGTTGCTCCTAGTTCATTCACAAACTTGTATATAGATCACCACCATCTATTTCCTGTTTATCCTTTTTTATTATTTAAAAAGTGGAAAGTAATATTTTCATTGATAAATATCATTTGGTCCTTAGGTAGTTCTTTTGCAGAAAGTTGAGTCCATAATTTTCAAATGATGATAGAACTGTATCAACCAAAGAGTTTCACACAGTTTCAATAACAGCAGCAATTTCCTTGAACTGTCTGTAAAAATTCTGAAACTGAGGAATTGTCATTTCAAAGGACTTGTTCTTTACTTGGCCAGAGTGATCTGCCACTTTTAGCATTACTGCAACATAAGGATACTTAAGTAATCTGCAGCTGTCCGAGCTTACAGCCATACCGAGTTTCCACTGAAAATCTATAAGCTGGCTGGTGACTTCGGACTTAGCATCTAGTACCGGCTCTCTGTCCCCAGACTCCTCCATGGCAAGCCCCCCCCGCCGTGGTCTCAGACCTCTTTTTTCTTTTTCTCTCTCTCTTCTTCTTCTTTTTTTTTTTTTGGTCAGTCGTGAGGCTTGGGAGCTGTCCTTGCACTCTTCAGCTCATGGTGAGCACTCTACCGTTTGAGCCACAGCACTACTTCCAGTTTTCTAGTGGTTTATTGGAGATCAGAGTCTAAAGGACTTTCCTGCCCAGGTTGGCTTTGAACCACAATGCTCAGATCTCAGCCTCCTGAGTAGCTAGGATTACAGGTGTGAGCCACCGGTGCCCGGCTTCTCTCTTCTTTCTTTCTGCTGGGGCTTGAACTCAGGGTCTAGCTACTGACCCTCTACCACTTGTGCCACTGTTCCACTTTTGGCTTTTTGGTGGTTAGTGAGAGATAAGAGTCTCATGGACTTTTCTTGCCCGGGCTGGAGAGAGTTTTCTTTACTTTGACTCTTGGTTGGAGATGGTTGGGAAGGCAAAGTAAGGCAGGAAGCAGAAGCTGGAGAAAAGCCCAGGGTGCCTGAGTCCCCCATGCTCTGTGGCCACCAGGGGGCAGCCTATACATTGACAAGGCACCCATGTCCCACACCCTTCACTGCCAGGCCCTGACTGAGGCCTTCCTCTCAGGTTGTGTGGCATGTATGGTTGTCCAGGAGGTGAGAGAAGTTTAAATGATTTGTTCAAGATCACCTGACAGCTGGGCACTAGTGGCTTGTGCCTGTAATCCTAGGAGGCTTAGATCTGAGGCTCATGATTTGAAGCCAGCCCAGGCAGCCAGCCCAGGCAGGAAAGATTGTGTCTTATCTACAATTAACCACCAAGACAAAGGAAGTAGAGGTGTGGCTTGAAATGGTAGGGTGCTAGCCTTGAGCAAAAAAGCTCAAGCACAGCACCCAAGCCCTGAATTTAAGCCCCAGGACCAACCAAAAATAAAAATCATATGACTAATTGGTGAGGAAGATGGCATTTGAACCCAGCCCCTCATTCCAGGCCAGCATTCCTGTGTGTGTGTGTGTGTGTGTGTGTGTGTGTGTGTGTGTGTGTGTGTGTGTGTGTGTGTGTGTGTGTGTGTGTGTATACCAGTGCCAGTACTACTTTAGGCTTGAACTTAGAGCTTGAGTGCTGACCCTTAGTTTTTTTGTTCCAGGCTGGTGCTTTACCATTTGAGCCAGACCTCCACATCTAGCTTTTAGATGGCTATTTGGAGATAACAGTCTCCTAGACTTTCCTGCTCAGATTGGCTTTGAACTGGGGTCCTCAAGTATCAGCCTGCCAACTAGCTATAATTAGAGACATGAGCCTCCAACACCAGCTACAGCCAGCTTTTTTTTTTTTTGGGGGGGGGGTCCAGTTGTGGGGCCTGAACTCTGGGCCTGGGCGCTGTCCCTCAGCTCTTCAGCTCAAGGCTAGTGCTCTACCACTTGAGCCATAGCGCCACTTCCGGCTTTTTTCTTTTTGCTTATGTGGTGCTGAGGAATTGATCCCAGGGCCTCATGCATGCAAGACAAGCACTCTACCACAGAGTCACCTTCCCAGTGCCTACAGCCAGCTTTCTTAACCCTTAGATTACTAGTTCTCAGAAAGACAATTCCTAGTCACTGCAGGGATAGGTGGGAAATGGAAGTCTATGGACATTATTCCAATACAGCTAGAAACAGAGAACAAAATGTGTATTAATTTAGAAGGAGATGGGAGCAGGGTGCCAGGGGCTCACACTTGTATTCCTAGCAAGCCAGGGAGCTGAGATCTTAGGATCACGGTTCAAAGACAGCCCTGGCAAGAAAATCTATGGGTGTCTTATCTATAATAAACCACCAGAGGGCTAGGATGTAGCTCAGTGGCAAAGTGCTTGCCTAGCAAGTGCAATGTCCTGGCTTTGATCCCCAATACCCAAAGAAAAGACATTAAAAAGAAAAAATACAGTTAAACAAACTAGCAAAACAAACAATACAGTTAACCACCAGAAAATCAGAAATGGAGGCTGGGAAGGTGGTTCAGTGGTAGAGTGCTTGCCTTGCATGCATGAGGCCCTGGGTTTGATTCCTCAGCACCACATAAGCAGAAAAAGCCTGAAGTGGTGCTGTGGCTCAAGTGGTAGAGTGCTAGTCTTGAGCTGAAGAGCTGAGGGACAGCGGCCAAGCCCAAAGTTCAGGCCCAAGACCGACAAAAAAAAACAAAAACAAAGAACAAAATCCAAAAACAAACAACAAAAAAAATCCAGAAATGGTGCTATGGTTCAAAGTGATAGAGGGCTAGTCTTGAGTGAAAAAGCTGAGGGAGGGTGGCCAGGCCCTACAACCAACCAAACAAACAAAAAAAAAAAAAGAAAAGAGAAGGTGATGATATGATCTCATGGCTATAATCCTAGCTACTCAGGAGTCTAGAACCTGAGAATCAAGGTTCAAAGCAGTCCAGGCTGAAAAATCCCTGAGAATCTAATTCCAATCAAGGAGCAAAAAGCTGGAAGTAGAAGTGTGGCTCAAGTAGTAGAATGCTAGCCTTATGCAAAAAAGAGCTAAACAGGGGCTGGGAAGGTGGCTCAGTGGTAGAGCACTTGCCTTGCATGTATGAGACCCTGGGTTCAATTCCTCAGCACCACATAAGCAGAAAAAAAAAGCCGGAAGTGACACTGTGGCTCAAGTGGTAGAGCGCTGGCCTTGAGCTGAAGAGCTGAGGGAAAGTGCCCAGGCCCAGAGTTCAGACCCATGACCGGGCCCCTCCCTCCCCCCCAAAAAAGAGCTAAACAAGAGTATGGCCCAGATACACACACACACACACACACACACACACACACACACACACACACACACACACACACACACACACACACACACACACACACACACACACAAATTAAGAGGAGCCAGAGAGAAAGTGTATGTTGAGGGCTAGACCTTTGTTGACCCAGAATATTGTACTACTGTGCATATTCCTTTTACCTAGCACTTTTCTGGAGGCTCAAATTCTTTTTTTTTTTTTTGGGTACGGTCGTGGGGCCTGAACTCTGGGCCTAGGTGCTATCTCTCAGCTCTTCAGCTTAAGGCTAGAGCTCTACCACTTGTGGAGGCTCGAATTCTTCTGAGTACTTTATTCTTCCAGGCACTGAGGTTGGAACTTAAAGCCTCTTGCTTGCTAGGTAGCTGCTTGGCTACCTGAGCTAAGCCTTCAGCCCCAACTCAGCACTCTTCTGGTTGATATTTATCTCCAGTAGCTGTATCATACACGTGTCAGGGTGGTTGGTATACTTGTGTCCTAATTCATATAGAAACATGGAGTTTTATATTACTTGATATATCTTTCATTTCTGTCTACAAAATATATTTCATGTAATGGGCATGTTGTAGGCTTCAATAAATGCCATTACATAACGAATAAAATAATAAATGAGTGTGAAAGACACCACAAAAAGCAGACTTCTGCTAAGGGTATATTCCTTTCGTAGAGACCTGAATATGAATGAATCCATTCTCTTCTATCAGTAGAGCTCAGTCTTCGGCCCAGTGTCCAAGTCAACACTGTTAAGGTAAAGGAAGGCCATCTTATTACTAGGCAAAGTCCCTAGTAATCCTTTGTCCTCACTCCTGTTCTCCACCAATCAGCTTGCTTTTCCTCCTCCCTTCATTTGTTCAAATCCTACAGCTGCTACTGGAGGGGATGGAGGAGGTTCTCAAAGGAAGAAAGGAATGAGGGCAGTGGGCTTGGGCACGGTTTGAGCATGGGGAGGGGAAGGAGGTTAGCTTCTGTGCCCAAGAGGCTTGTTCTGGGTAAAAAGCTGGTCTTCTTGAACCTCAGATGGCGAAGCAAACCACATCCTGATCTTAAACACCTACTCACCCTCATGGAGCCAGCCATCTAAGCCCCTTGTACCTAGGCAACCTGCCCACAAGCTGCCCCCTCGGAGAGTCCCAAGCAACTCCTGCAGCAGCAGCCTCCCACTGGGGATGCATGCCTTTGCTACCTGAATCCCAGGTACTTGTGGTCCTTCCCATGAGCTGCGGGAGTCCTGATCCCATCACATGACCCAAGGTCTGGGCACAAGTCATTAGTTATTCCTCTTCCACCTAGACCTTGCTGCTGAGGCCCCCCTCACCAACTGGAGCACCTTCCGACATGGCCGGCATGCTGTCGCTCGTCTTTATCATGGTCCATTCAGGTGACAGGGCATTTGCTCAGGATGCTCATGGGGGTGGAGTTGGGAAGAATGGGGGGTGAGGGAGGTAAGACCTCGGTGTCCCAGGGACACAGGTGAGATGGAGGCTGAACATTGTGACCAGAGAGCCACTTTGAGGAAAGTAGCAAAGCTTCCATCTCCATAACGCTGAGGCCTGGGGAGTTTCCAGTCCCAGTCCCCCCAGGTGTCTCCTTTCCTGCAAGGGTCATTGTGAGCTTTTATCCTAGAGCCTTTTTCTTCTGAACTTCTTCCTAAGATTAAGTTGAAAGGACCTTTAAGAGAAGGCTAACCAGGCACTAGTGGCTCATGCCTACAATCCTAGGTACTCAGGAGGCTGAGATCTGAGGATTGTGGTTGGAAGCCAGCCTGAGCAGGAAAAGTCAGTAACCACCAAAAAAGCTGGAAGTAGAAATGTGGCTCAGGTGGTAGAGTGCTAGCCTTGAGTACCAAAGCTCAGGGACAGAATTGGGCCCTGAGTTCAAGCTCCAGAACTGGCATTAAAACACAAAGAATTGGTTATCAATTTAGACAAATTTCAAAACAATCTCAACCAACTAAAGCTGTCTTTACCTAGAGATTTAATTAATACTTTGACCAAAAACAAGGGAGCAAGGATGAACATCATTAGCACATAAGTAATAATTGGAATAGTGTAATAACCTTATTAGTTAGGTAGGCAGGCACATTCATGAATGAGATTCAGTTGCACTCTGCTAGGATACATTTCAACAAGACAAGAGCTGCTTGTGAAAGGAGCTGGAGAATGATAGGAGAGGATGGACTGAGAGTTGGTCTGGGAAAGAGTTTGAAAAGTGGTTTCATAAATAACGTTAAGGAACTAAACTGGTAAAAGAGGAAAAGGCTTAAGGCCATCCCCAAAGTGCTTGTTTGGATACACAGTACGAGGAGGAACAACGGGACTATTTGACACCTGCTTTTTTCTTGAAAGTCACTGGATGGTATTTTTCTGGGTCTTCTCTTTGGCTCCAGGATCCTGCTTCCTCTGGGTATTTCAGCCCCCTGAGATTCATGCCCAAGAGGGGACCACTGCCCTCCTGCCTTGCTCCTTCAATGCCAGTCAAGGGAAGCAGACCATTGGCTCAGTCACATGGTACCGAGACAAGGTGGCCCCTGGGAAGCAGGTGAGCAACATGACCCCAGAGTTCAGAGGTCGTCTGGCTCCTCTGGCCCCTTCCCGATTCAGCCATGACCACCAGGCTGAGCTGTGCATCTGGGCTATTGGAGGTGACGATGCTGGAGTCTACGTGTGCACGGTGGAGGTGCTGGGCCTGGGTGTCGGGTCAGGGAATGGGACCCGGCTGCTGGTGGCGAAAGGTGAGGCCATGGGAGGCAGCCCCTCCTCAACACCAGATCCCAAGACTCAGTGTCCCTGGTCAAGAATTCCTCCTAGCCTAACTTCCTCCACCCTTTCCTCCCCACTCCCTCATGCAGGACCTGCTCAGACCAGCACAGGGCTCCTCCTCCGGGCTGGATTCTATGCCCTCAGCTTTCTTTCCGTGGCCCTGGGCAGCACTTTCTATTACCAGGGCAAAAAAGTGTGAATAATGGAGCCAGGGGCAATGATAAGTGGAGCAGTACAAGAGCTGGAAGAGGGCGTGCCAGACACCACCCACACCACCCAGAGAACTGCGCCTGCGCTGTGCTGCTGCCAGCTCTCCACCAGCGCACTGGCACATAGGAACACACCAACTCCTTGGGCAGCCTGTGAGGACTGAGTCCAGACCCCAAATTCCACACCTGTTCATGAGAACGCAATAAATCCTTCCCTTCCTCACCACTCTCCTCTTTGTTAATCTCATGTATTTTTGTTCTCCATTCTCCAGATGCCCCAGTATACCTATCTGATTTCTCTGGTTTTATTTTGTTGTTGGTGGTGGTGGTCATGGGGCCTGAACTCTTGGCCTGAGTGCTTTCCCTGATCTCTTCAGATCAAGGCTATTGCTCTACCACCTGAGCCACACAGCTCCACCTCTGGCTTTTTCTGCTTTTGTGGTACTGAGCCACCTTCCCAGCCTTCCTGGTTGTTTTATCCATGGGTTCTGACCTAGAAATGTCTAAGGAGAGATTTTTCTGGTATTCATGCCCATAGTGCTTTTTGCCATACTCTGGAGCTCAGTATACCCTCTCCCAAGTCCAGAGCAAAGGCTGCTGCTGCTGTTGCTGAGAAATTTTTACCGAAGCTGATTATTCCTACTTGTTAACTGACCCTTCTGGTCAGGCTTACAGACTGTTTTCTGAGCTGGGTATTGGTGGCTCACACCTATAATCCTAGCCCTTCAGGAGGCTGAGATCTGAGGATCCTGGTAAAAAGCCAGCCCAGGAAGGAAAGTCTGTGAGACTCTTATCTCCAGTTTACCACTCAAAAACCAGAAGTGGTGCTATGGCTCAAAGTGGTAGAGAGCTAGGATTGAGTAAAAGGGGCTCAGGAGCCGGGTGCCGATGGCTCACGCCTGTAATTCTAACTACTTAGGAAGCTGAGATCTGAGGATCGTAGTTCAAAGCCAGCCCGGGCAGGAAAGTTTGTGAAACTCTTATGTCCAATAAACCACCAGAAAACCGGAAGTGGCGCTATAGCTCAAGTGGTAGAACACTGGCCTTGAGCTGGAGAGCTGAGGGACAGCACTCAGGCCCAGAGTTCAAGCCCCACTACTGACAAAAAAAAAAAAAAAAAGGAGCTCTGGGACAGTGCCCAGGTCCTGAGTTCAAACCTCATGGTTGACAAAGAAAAAAAAAAAAAAGACTGTTTTCTGAACTTGAAGGAGTTGCAGGTCCCTAAACACCTGTCTCCACCCAATAAGTCACCAAGCCAGGAGTGAAGTTTTGATGGCACTCATTTCCAATGCTGGCTTGAGATGGACTGAGAAACCTGAGACACAGAAATGGTGTGATCACAGTCTTTACTGGTAAACCACAGGATGACCTTGATAACCTGCCTGGGACGTGGCCTTCGGGGTGCTCAGGTGGATTTGTTCTGGGCAATGCAGGCATAGTCACTGGTACAGAACTCTTCCTTTATTCCTTCCCCTTCTTCATCCACAAGGTCACTGCTGGACACTGGCAGCTTATGCAGAGATGCATAGTGGAGCTCAGACTCTGGGAGCTGGGCCTGGCCAGGCAGAAATTGATGATGGGAGAGCATAGGAGTGGCAGCTCCATCCTGTCCTGAGTTCTGCCTCTCCTCCTCATTGCTGCCCCTGCTCTTTTTATCCCTTTCTCCTTCTGAACTTGTCCATCAGTCTGTCTGTCCATCTGCTGTCTTCTACTTCCTCAGCCCTCTCTAGCTGTGTCTGTCCCTCTGTTCCTCCCTTCTATGTTTCTGTCTTCATTGCTGGCCTAAGTTCCTATTTTTTTCCTCGCTGTTAATCCTGTTGCGTCTCAGTGTCTGATTTTCTTTTCTCTGCCACTCTCATTCTCTCTCCTACTTTTTCTTTTGTTTCTTATGTTCTCTCTCTCTCTCTTTCTTTCTTTCTTTCTTGCCTGCCTGCCTGCCTGCCTTTCTTTTCTTTTTTTCTTTCTTTTTTGTCAGTCATGGGGCTTGAACTCTGGCCTTAGTTGCTGTCGCTGAGCTCTCCAGCTCAAGGTGAGTGCTCTATCACTTGAGTAACAGTACCATTTCCAGTTTTCTGGTGGTTTATTAGAGATAAGAGTCTCACACACTTTCCTGTCTGGGCTGGCTTTAAATCTCAACCTCAGATTTCTGAGTAGCTAGGATTATAGGCATGAGCCACAGGTGCTCCTCCTTCAAGGCTAGTGCTTTAGTATTTGATCCAAGCCTTTATATCAACTTTTTGCCGCCTAATGAGAGATAAGAGTCCCTCAGATTTATCTGCTCAGGCTGGCTTTGATGTGTGCTTCTCAGATCTCAGCCTCTCGAATAGCTAGGATTACAAGTGTGAGCCACCAAGGGTCACAAGTGTGACCCTTGCTTTCTCTATCTTTTTTCTCCTATCTTTGTTTCTCTTGTTTTCCTCTTCTTGTTTCTCCTTCCAGCCTCCTCATTTTCTCCTCCCAGGCCCCCCTCCCCCCAGCCCTCCCTTTCTCTTGCCTATCCTGGGGCTTGAATTTAGGGCCTAGACATAGTCCCTAAAGTTCTTTTGCCCAAGGCTAACACTCTACCACTTGGGCTAGAGCCTCACTTCTGGCTTTTCAAGTAGTTTATTGGAGATAAGAGTCTCAAGGAGTGCCTGCCAGGGCTGGCTTGGACCTCAGATCTCAGCCTCCTGAGTAGTTAGGTTTATAGATGTGAGTCATTGGCATCCGGCTCTAGTTCTCTTGTGTCTCCTTTTCTGCCCTCATATTCTCCATCCCTCTGCTTCTCCCAGGCTCCTTTCTCTTGGCCCCAGCTGCCTCCACCCCACTCAGGCTCTCAATGCCAATCCCCCTCCCACCCGCAGTCTCACCTGGCTCCTCTCCAGCCTCCTCACTGAAAGAAAAGCAGCAGGTCAGCACAGCCCTCCATGAGTCTCCACCCCCCTCATTGCTGCCCTCCCCACCCCCACCCCCAGCAGGCACTGCCTTAAGTTGTTTTCTCTGTGGGAACCCTGGCCAAAGACCTGCTCCCCTGCACACTCCTGTCTCTCTCCCATTCTGCTCCAACACCCTCCACCCAGGACTTGTCAGGGTCAATGTGATTTCTGTGCCAGCAGTAGGAAGGATGTGGCTAGGTAGACTGGGACTGAGGGAGGCGAGGGTGGAGCTCACCTCTTCGATGGAGCCAACACAAGCAGATGGACAGAATGACCACAAGCAGGAGCAGGAGCCCTCCCAGCCCCATGCCCCCATAGAGGTAAAGGCACATGTCTGTAGGGAAGAGAGATCAGGATTAGAAGGTCTTTTTCTCTCTTCTCCTTTCCTGGACTCCCAGTTGGTTCTGGACATTTAAATTCCTCCCGCTGATCATTTTAGTAGTAGAAAAGATACCCCCAGGGAGAGACGTCAACTTTTTCACTTCCTACCATAGGTACACATCCTTTATCAGTTACCTCATTTCATATCTGAGACCAGTCACTGTCTGTAGCTTCCTAGTACAATCCCTGCCCTTTGTAGGACTTCCGTGAAGTCCCTTTCTTACCTACACTGGTTGATCCTACAAGGTCTTATCCCTTGCTTGTGAGCCACACACAGCACACATTTTCCCCGTGACTCCCTGAGCATTTACCCCATCCCTGTACCACATGACAGCCCCCTACTTACTCTCTTTGCAAAGGAGTTTGTTCATTGCAATGTGACCCAGGTCTAGGAGTGGTGTGGGATTCAACAAGCTAGCCTCTGTTTCTGCTAGGCTCAATGGCCTGGGCTTGTCACGTGCTACAAGTTCCTCATCTGTGAAGCAATGAGGAGGGCCCTGTGTTACCATTCTTCCCCTAGCTGAGGAGCCTCACCTAAGTGCCAGTCAGTCCTGAGCTGGGCATAATTGCCCCTCACTGCTAATTCCCACCACGGTGTAGGCTATGCCAGTACTCCTTTCCCAGTAAGGAGCCTGAGACTCCAGCCTCAACATTAATGAACACTAGCCCGGAAGTGGTCGAGCTGGAGTTCAAGGTCAGTTTTAGCTAGTTCTAGAGGCCCTTTCTTCCTTCCCTCTGTAGGAGGCTGACCAGAGGTTCTGGAGGTTCCTCTCAAGCACTCAATAGTTCTGCTCAGCACTGGACAGTGTTGGTAAGAGGGCTGCTGGAGGGAAAGGATTTAGGTCTGACGTAGGGGCAGGGACTGGTGAAAAAGACAGGAGGATGTTCAGTGTCCCCAGCTGTTGGGGCCCCAGGAGAGTGGGACCTTATTTGGCTTGTAGGGAGAAGTGGGGCAAGGAGGAGTGCCTAGGACCTATAACTTCCCCTCTCGCACTTCCTGCCATTCAACCACTGGTTTCTTTTTAAGGCAAAGAATGGGCCACAAACTTCACCCACAGCCAGATGTATGCACTGTAGTTACAAACCAAGATCTTTCTTTTTAAGAGAAATGCTGGCTGCTGGGTGTTGGTGGCTCATGCCTGTAATCCTAGCTACTCAGGAGGCTGAGATCTGAGGATCACAGTTCAAAGCCAGCCCAGGCAGGGGAGTCCAGGAGACTCTTATTAACTACCAGGGAATTGGAAGTGGTACTGTGGCTCAAAGTGGTAGAGCACTAGCCTTGAGGAGAAAAGTTCAAGGCAGCACCCAGGGCCTGAGTTCAAGACCCAGGACTTAGCCAGGTACCAGTGGCTCATACCTGTAATCCTAGCTACTCAGGAGGCTGAGATCTGAGGATTGGGGTTCATAGCCAGCCCCGTCAGGAAAGCCCATGAGACTCTTATCTCCAATAAAGCACTCAGAAAACCAGAAGTGGCGCTGTGGCTCAAGTGGTAGAGCACTAGCCTTGAGCTGAAGAGCTGAGGGACAGCGCCCAGGCCCAGAGTTCAAGGCCCAAGACCAGCCCCCCTCAAAAAAAAAAAAAAAGAGAGAGAGAGAGAGAAGAAAAGAAATGCTGGGGGTTGAGGCAAGCCCAAGTCTGGGTAGAAGGGGGAGACAATGAGATGACTGGGAGCTATGGAAAGCCCAGAACCAGAGGCCCAGATCACAGGCCTCAGAAGATGCAAGATTCTTCCAGATTGTTATCTCCCTTCCTCTTAGCTTCCTCTCACCCTGGTGTCTGGCCACCCCTCCAGGGTTTTCCCCAGCAGATCCTGCTAATTGGGTGTAAAGAAGGGCTGTCCCCTCACCTTCCAGCTGCTCCCCTGGCTTTGAGTTCTCTCCATCTACTGGACTGTGCCCTTTCCCCTCCACTCCACCCTCAGCATCTAGGAGAGGAGGTGCAGCTGTGAGGGCTACAGCTCCTTTCAGGCTCCTGGCATACTAAGCTAGTGAGCCCCCTCTGCTCCTGCCTTCTGTCCATCCCACTGCAGTCCGTGAATGTCTGCCTCTTCCAGGTGCCTCCTCTGATGAACTTGTTCCCATAGGTCCTCATCTTGCGTCTACTGAGAGCTCAGGATCGATACCAGTGTGTGTGAGTGTGTGAGAGAGTGTGTCTGTGTCTGTGTCTATGTGTGTGTACATACTCTGGCTCCTACATCAGACAGATCTCTGGTAGGTTTGGGGTCATTCTCTTGGTGTCCTGCAGTTCTATCCAGTGTGATGTTTGTAGCTGATTGATTGAAAAGCAGGAGAGTCAGAGGCAGGCAGACTAGATTCATGTGAGCAGTGCTGATGTAGGACAGAAAGTGGAGGACAATTTGGCAAAGGAGGTGAGGGTAATTGAGGAGAAGTTTCTGTAAGAGGCAACATTGTGTGTTGAGCACAAAACAAAAGGCAATGGTTGAAGGCGCTCAGGACAGGTATCTGGGTGAAGGCCTCTTAGGGTCACTGAGATGGAGAGGGAGAAGGATCCTGGGGGATTGCACACTTAGACTTTGAGGAGAGTGAAGACTGGGAGCTCAGAAGGAGGCAAGGGAAGAGAAGGAAATCTGTGTCTACATTCATGTATTTGTGAGTGTTTTGTGAGTGTTTTCTTCTTTCTCTTTTTACATAGAATCTCATCGTATAGCCCACACTGGCCTTGAATTTGAGATTGTTGTTACCTATGCCTTCTGAGTGCTGGAATTTTAGGTGTGCACCACTATCTGGCTACTTCACATTTATTTATTTATTTATTTATTTTTGCCAATCTTGGGGCTGGGCACTGTCCTGAGCATCTTTTGCTCAAGCCTACCTAGCACAATACCACTTGTGTCATGGCACCACTTTTGTTTTTTTTCTGCTTCTGTGGTACTGAGGAATCAAACCCAGGGCTTCATGCATGCTAGGAAAGCACTCTACCTCTAAGCCACAGGCCCAGGCCTACTTTAACTTTTGTTCTTGAATTCAGGAAACTTTCTTCTACTCCCCTTCTCCCCCATCTTCAAAGGTCCCCTTGCAGAACTATAGCATGATATTCTACTAGTGGATATTTTTTTACATGTTATTATTAATTGTTACATTTTATGATTTAAAAATTCAAGATGGGCTGGGAAGGTGGCTCAGTGGTAGAGCGCTTGCCTTGCATGCCTGAGGCCCTGGGTTCGATTCCTCAGCACCACATAAGCAAAAAGAAAAAAAGCCGGAAGTGGCACTGTGGCTCAAGTGGTAGAGCGCTAGCCTTGAGCTGAAGAGCTGAGGGACAGCACCCAGGCCCAGAGTTCAGGCCCCAAGACTGGCCCCCCCCCCCAAAAAATAAATAATTAAAAAAATAAAAATTCAAGAAAAAAAGGAGAAATGATTATATAGTAAACTCTGGAAGCATGGCTCAAATGGCAAAAAAAAAAAAATGCTTACCAATCCCAATGCCCTGAATTCAAACTCCAGACCTACCCCTCAAAAGGCAAGAATTGTACAGTGCAACTTATCCGTACCACCTATATTCTACAAGTCATGTACTGTTGTTATTGTTGGGATTTTGTTGTTGTTTTGTCCTGTCCTGGGGCTTGAATTCAGGGTCTGGGCACTGTCCCTGAGCTTCTTTTGCTCAAGGCTAGCGCTCTACCACTTGAGACACAGCACGACTTCTTGCTTTTTCTGTTTGTGTGGTGCTGAGGAATTGAACCCAGGGCTTCATGGATGCTAGGCAAGCGCTCTACCACTAAGCCAATTCCCAGCCCAAGTCATGTTTTTTGTATTTACTATATCACATATCTATCTTGATTTTAGTATTTCTCAAGATTGCAAACGTGAGTTCTTGTCACCCTTAGTATGCTGGGTTACTGAATTTAGTATTTAATACTGAGTTCAGTACTCATTTCCTCATTTTTATCTTTGCTTTTTTGCTTGAAGAAGACAAAATTTACATACAGTGAAATGTACAAATCCAAAGTTAGTACTCAGAGTTTTTTGGGGGGAGGGTGTCAAATCCAGTGCCTCAGACATACTGGCCAAACACTACCACTAACTCATTCACAAATTTCTTTTCTTCTTTCTTTCTTTCTTTTTTTTTTCCGGTCGTGGGGCTTGAACTCTGGGCTTGGGTGCTGTCCCTCAGCTCTTCAGCTCAAGGCGAGTGCTCTACCACTTGAGCTACAGTGCCACTTCTGGCTTTTTTTGCTTATGTGGTGCTGAGGAATCAAACCCAGGGCCTCATGCATGCAAGGAAAGTACTCTACCACTGAGCCACCTTCCCAGCCCGTCTTTTTTTTTTTAATTTTTATTTATTTATTTATTTTGTCATGAACTCTGGACATGGACACTATCCTGAGCTCTTCAGCTCAAGTCAAGTGCTCTACCACTTGAACCACAGTGTCACTTCTGGTTTTCTGGTGGTTTATTGGAGATAAGATTCTCAGGGACTTTCCTGCCCAGGCTGGCTTTGAACCACAATCCTCAGATCTCAGCCTCCTAAGTAGCTAGGATTACAGGTGTGAACCTCCAATACCCAGCCCATCCACACATTTCATGCATCAGTTTTCCTCAGAGTTTTTCTCAGGATTTAAAGGAATATATATGAAGTGAGTAGATCTGTGTTTGCTACAAGCTCAGTACTACTTACTTATTTGTTATATTATTGTTGTTATTGTTGTTACTACTCAAACTCAGAGAGATCATCAAGAAGAGATCGCTGAGTGCCTATGTATAATCCCAGTTACTCGGGAGGCTAAGATCTGAGGATCCTGGTTAAAAGCCAGTCTGGGAATAAAAATCCAAGAGACTCTTATCTCCAGGTAACTGACAAAAAGCTGGAAGTGCAGGTGTGGCTCAAGTGGAAGAGTGCCAGCCTTGAGCCAAAAAGCTCAGAGTAGGCCCTGAGTTCAAGTCCCAGTATCAGCACACACACAAAAAATAAAACGCAGAGAGGTGATCTGGGACCACTTCCTTGTTCTTCCTTGCAGCCACTTTTTCTTTCCTGAAGTTCTGCTCCTTTTGAACTCCTCCCTTCCTCTTCCATTCATTTGGTCCTTGCTGTTTTGTTTTGCTCACTCATTCATTCACTCACGTTTTTCTGCATTTATTCATAGACATTTAGTAAGCTCCTACTAAATTTAGTAAGCTCCTAATGATGGGGCTTTTCTAGATTGAAGCTTTCTTTTCTTTGTTAGTACTAGGGGATAGTATTTGAACCTGGGGACACAGGTATGTTTTACCACTTGAGTCCTGCTTCTAGACCTTTAGTTTTTGAGGGGGGGTTGTCTCCCTAACCTTGCCTAGGCTAATCTTGAACTTGAGATCCCCTTGCCTCTACCTTAAGAGCAGCTGAGATTACAGGTGTGTAGCACAATGGCCATCTTAGACTGAAGCTTTTTTGTGGTGGGGACATGCCTTATTGTTTTCACTTCATTTTTTATGCTTTGTAGAAAAGAGAGTAATGATTTGTT